CAACAAAGGTATGTCTACTACACTTCTATATGATTTTCGAAAATTATAGAAGCATCCCAGGGTTTATTTTGTGTTCATATAGTTGTATGTCTTATAGTGAAAACATAGATCCAATCTAGGGTTGCATGCACACATAGGATTGTTTGTATAAAACCCATCAATTTCTGCTGCACTTTGAATTCTACTTTTCTTTCCACATCCTTTATTTGCTTTGAACATTTGGAACATTGATGTCAATGTCTTTTGGAATAGGAATGCCCATAAGCTTTCCTACCTCTTCAATATTTGTCCTATTTTTCTGCAATTCATTTGTAGGATCGTTATCGTATTCCTTCAACATGCTTTCTGTTTTCTTAACAAACAAATCCATTTTGTCTTTATTTTTTCTTACGTATTCCAAGCATGCTTCAAAGTTGTAGTATGCTTGATTGACATATCTGTTAATTTCACTGTCTCCTGTATCATATACATGCCTACCAAAGTGATAATGCCTTGATATCACATCCTTTCTCCTACGATTCTCAATGTACTGTTCAGGTATTTCCTTAATTCCGTGTTTCATGAGTATGTTGAATGCATGTCTGCACAAAGTCCCAAAGCGGTTGAAGTGTTCACAAGTATATTTTACATCATTTATTGGAAGTTTTATTTCTACCTGTTCAAAATAAAATTAAAGCATTAAGTGTTTTATAATCATAACTGAAAATTGTTGTATATTACGTTTTGATTCATCAAAACTTAAAATAAGAATATATTACCTCAAATTCTGTTTTTAGATCACTGTTTTTGTTCAGTTGTTCCACTTTGTATAACTCCCATCCGTTTTTTGTTCCAGTATGTTTGTATTGGCAGTACCAGGAACCTTTGTAGATTTCTTTTCTGTACTTCATAAAACAATGTACTTGTATAAACTTTTGCAACATGTTTTTCTATTGGTCGCGGTGAAATAAATTTATCTACTGCCTTCTTTGTTTGATGATCAAGCTCATTTTATGTATTTATTTGTTTTTGAATTGTTGTGTCATAGTTCATCATGAAATGTAAAAGTAAATTTCCAGATTGCGAGTAAGTGTTGAAGAAGGAATTCATGCTTTCTGATCTTGAAGTGGTTTTCATTAATCCAGACATTCTAGTGTCACTGAAGTATGCAGGTATCCATTTGTCACGTAATTCGAACATATCATTGAACCATCTTTTATCTTCGAGGTTGAATTCATTAATAATCAACTCCCACTTCTTCTCAAATTCATCAGGTTTGATATGCATGTTCCATACAATCTTGTTAAATCTTTTTTTGAAGTCTTTGTTTTTAAATAAATCGCCAGTAACCTATGAATGAACAATTTTACTTATATAAGTATAAATTATATACTTATTTGGATATATCATATATGAGTAATCATATATGATTATGTACTGTAATGTAGGATTAATCATATATGATTATACAGTATGATATCTGATAATTCATATTATTATAATCATATATTATTAATGGTATATGATTAACTGTTATAATAATATGAATTATCAGATATCATACTATATAATCGTATATCATTAATCATATATGATTATACAGTATGATATTTGATAATTCATATTATTAGAATACATAATTATATATAATTCATCATATATGATTATACAGTATGATATCTGATAATTCATATTATTATAATCATATATGATTAATCATATATGATTAACTATTCTAATAATATGAATTATCAGATATCATACTATATAATCATATATGATTATATACTATGATATACGATAATACAATATATAATCATATATGATTAATCATATTTGATTAAGTATTCTAATAATATGAATTATCAGATATCATACTGTATAATCATATATGATTATACAGTATGATATCTGATAATTCATATATTAGAATAGTTAATCATATATTATTAATCATATATGATTATACAGTATGATATCTAATAATTCATATTATTATAATCATATATGATTAACAATTATAATAATATGAATTATTAGATATCATACTATATAATCATATACTGTATTATCATATATCATAATATATGATCATATATGATTATACATTATGGTATCTGATAATTCATATTCTTACAATACTTAATCATATATGATTAATCATATATGATTATACAGTATGATATCCAATAATTAATATTATTAGAATACTTAATCATATATGATTATATAGTTTTATTTTTATTATACCTTTGCTTGTAGTTTTTTTATTATGTGCCACATGCATAGTCTGTGTCTTGAATTTGGTAAGACAGATTCCACTGCTTGTTTTATTGCTTGATCTTGATCAGTTAGAACAATTTTTGGTGCTTTCCCTTCATGAGCTCTAAGAAAAGCTTTAATTAGCCATTCATACGACTCAATTGTCTCTCTACTCAGCAACCCAACGCCAACAGTAACTGATTTCTTGTGGTGGTCAACTGCTGTGAATGGAACAAATACCATTTTATTAATAGTATGTTTAAATTTAATTGTATAATTTTTTTTATTTTAATCATAAATGTATAAATTATGTAAAGCATATACATTAACTTACTTGTTTGTTCTAAAAGTTGCATCAAAAGATATAACTTCTCCAAACTCTGTATAAAAAGCATTTTCTCTTTCATCTGTCCAAAACATAGCAGCCAACATATCTCCATCACGTAGGAACTCAAATGAATAATTTGGGTAATGATCTCTACGATCATTCATGTTGTTTATCATTATTTGAGCATCCTTGTAACATAAGATTCTATTTACTCATCTCCTCAAGTTTTTGTAGTCTGTTACCTTTGCCCCTACATATTCATATCCTCCTTTCAAAACTGCTCGTATTTTGTGAGCCATTGTTCGACCAATTTTAGCTTTTGATGCACGTACTACAAACTCTTTTTCAGAATATGACATCTTTCTTGCCTTTTTCGTATAAGATCTTTCATCAATACTTTCCAGTGGGTGGTTGTGCAATTCAAAGAATTTCTTAACTTTGTAATTCGTTGTTCCATAAACATTTTCAAATATAATCTTTGCTATACACCCAGTAATTATCTTGTTTGAATTTGGTTTCCTCTTGATAGAACTTGTAGCCAACGTATCACAAGGTTTTGGTTTATCCTTGCCACCCCTATTGCATATAACATATTTTTCTTTTATTATTTGGCTATTGTATTTTGATTGGCTACTCAGTCTTGTTTGAAAACCTACCATTTATGCATAATCAGTATACATTTTTACTGCCAAATTTAATGATTTGAAAACAATGTTTACATCTGGTACAAATTCAGTAGGGACATCTGGTTTATATTCAGATTCTTCAATTATGTTACTGCAACATGATTCATTTGTTGAATTGGAACTTTCACCTGATAAAAGAAGAGAATGTCAAATATGTTATTATATAATTTTATGCTGTAATAATCATATGTGATTAACAATATGTATTTATATAGTGTAATATATTATTCATTATATTTTAGTATGAAAAATCATATATGATTATAGATATTAATATATTATTAGATGTTAAATCATATGTGTTTGTTCATTGTCTTATATGATTAATCATATACTGTACTGTGTACTCATAAATGATTATACGTATTAATTTATAGGTAATCATACTTAATACTGTTTAATCATCTATGATTAATCATATGTATTTGTAGTTTGTAATATATGATTAATCATATTTTATGATGTATAATCATATATGATTATTCATCCTAATATAAGATTAATATATATTTCAATTTGAAAACATATATGATAAATCAGAATTACAAACTATAAATACATATGAATAATCATATATGATTATTCATGCTAATATAATCATATTTTATGATGTATAATCATATTTTTTTGTACAATGTCTTATATGATTAATCATATATTATAGTATTTAATATATAATTAATCATATATTTAGATCTATTAACACATATGATAAATCATATGTTTTTTTTAAATTGTTATATACAATTAATCAAATGTTAGTATGTATAATCGTATATGATTATACACCGTAATATATAATTAATCGTAATTTATATTGTATAATAAAAAAATCAGAATGAAGTGTAGAAATTGTAATGTAATATGTCGTATTAAAACGAATTATTTGTACCTTCAATACGAATCGTATTTTGAAGTTGTTCAGAAGTCAAAGAAATTGAATCGATTTGTTCGTTGTTACGAGATGAATTGATTTCAGCTACAATAGTATCAGTTGCGATCGACTCGTCAATTTCTTTTGAATTCGACATCATTTATGAAAATTGATTTTGATTCAATTTTCAAATGTTATCTTGAATTGCGTTGATGAATGAGATGGTGCTTGTTTCTTCGATTTGAGGATTATGTCTCGTATTTATGAAGATATGAACTGATGCTCTGTTTCGATCGTTTTTTTCGATTTGAAGATTGCGATTAATTTGATAACAGATTCAGTAAAAATAGGAACTTTATGATGATATTGAATGATTTTTGAAGATTGAATGATACAATTACGTGATTGATACTGAGAATCGATGATTTAATGATAAATGATTTTTAGAGAAGGAAGGTGTCCGCTTTCTAAGCATTAAGTTGAAATTTATTATTATACCCCTGCATCATTTAACAATTGGTTGATGTTTAATCTCATAATCTCTAATTTTTTATTAATCTCAAGGAACCATCCCATATATATATATATATATATATATATATATATATATTATATATATATATATATTACAAAGGGTGTTTGACGAATAAATTCCAATGACATGCATTTGCTGAATGTCTATGATTCCCATATGCAACACTAAATGACAAGAAAGGCGTCAGTAGCGAACAGCCATCCCAAATCACGTGCGTTTAATTATAATATTGAATATCTAGAACAACAGTGCTTCTAACTCACCACTTACAAGTTATGAGAAAGGCCTCAGCCCTCAGCAGATCTAGAACCTCCACACAACGATCAAAACCCAAAAATGGAAGTCGACGAGCGAAATGCTACAGTACACTCCCCGTCGCCGGTAGCCGAAGTTGTGGTGGTGATGGTGCCATTCGTAGCTCAGGGCCATCTCAACCAGCTCATACACCTTTCCCGCCTTATATCCACCTACAAAATCCCCGTCCATTTCGTAACCACCACCACCCACATCCGCCAAGTGCGCTCCCGCTTCCACGATTTCATTTCACGCTCCGCCGCTTCCAACCTCATCCACTTCCACGCTCTCCCAACTCCTCCCTTCACTTCTCCTCATCCCAACCCGTCCAGCCGGTTTCCGTCTCACCTACAACCCGCTTTCGAATCAAGTCTCCATCTCCGCCGCCCAGTCGCCGACCTCATATTATCTCTCTCTAGCTCCACAACGAGAGTCGCTGTCATCCATGATTTTATGATGTCCTACGTCGTTCAAGACGTGAAAGCGATACCAAATGCCGAGACTTACATCTTCAGACCCCTATCCGCTTTCCATACCTTCTGGCTAACCTGGGAGAGATTGAGCAGACCCTTCCCGGTGGACCCGGGAATGCTAAAACGGCTCCCGTCTGCAGATGGATCTTTGTCGCCGGAGTTTAAAGAATTCGTTAAACAACAGTTACCCCATGTCGGTTATCACGTCGGAGAGTTATACGACTCATCAAGAGCCATCGAAGGTGAATATCTTGAATATTTAGAGAGAGAAGAGCTGAACGACTATAAGAAGCTTTGGGCAATAGGGCCGTTTAATCATGCTGACAGAACATCTTTTACCGTTTCCAAAAACCATCACAAATGCTTGCAATGGCTGGACCTACAGCCTCCTACCTCCGTCGTATATGTGTCTTTTGGGACAACAACAACCTTCACTGACGAACAAATTACAGAGCTTGCCATTGGGTTAGAGAGAAGCCAGCAGAGGTTTATCTGGGTGGTTCGAGCGGCGGACAAAGGGGATGTGTTTGAGGATGAAGCTAAAATGGCGGATTTGCCGGAAGGGTTTGAAGAGAGGGTGGAAGGGCGGGGATTGGTGGTGCGGGGGTGGGCACCGCAGACGGAGATTTTGGGTCATGTTGCAACCGGTGGGTTCATGACTCATTGTGGGTGGAACTCCTGTACAGAGAGTATATCAAATGGCGTGCCAATGGCTACTTGGCCAATGCATTCTGATCAGCCACGTAACGCGTTTTTGATGACTGATGTTCTTAGAATTGGATTGGTGGTGAAAAATTGGGAACATAGAGATGAGTTGGTGACGTCGGTGGTGGTGGAAGATGTTATTAGGAGATTAATGGATTCGAAGGAAGGGGAGGACGTGAGGGAGAGAGCGGTGGAATTGGCGGACACAGTGAAGAAGTCGGTGGTGGAGGGTGGTGAATCTAGTAAGGAGACTGATTCGTTCATTTCCTACATAAGCAGGCATGGATAGCAATAGGTCCAAATGATTTCTTCTATGTTTCATGTAATTCTCTTATGCATCCAATATATATTGGTAACTCATTCATATGCTTAATTATTTCTCACTGTGTTGTTTCAATCTTTTGATTGTTTTGAGAACACTGTTTTATTCATACTCCCACGACATTCTTGATACTTTTTTCATATATACTATAGAACATATGTGAATAAAGGCCTTTATTTTTTTTTTTGAAAATCATTCCCGACGGAACTTGTGCCGACGACATGTCGTCGGTATAGGGGTACGTACCTATCCTGATGACAATTTCCACCTATGGTGACAATGCTATGCCGACGAATCTGTGTCGACGACATGTCTTCAATATAGCCTATCCCGACGACATGTCGTCGGCATAGGGTTAAAAAGTGTCGTCGGCACAGGAGTGTTATTCTTGTATTGAGGATAGCTTGGATGAGTTGGAAAAAAATGTTGTCTAGCAAAGAAGTTGGGGGGTCTTGTTGTCGGTGGCTTGTTTTTGTAAGTGGTTCTCTATAAATGGAGATAGAGGCGTCTACAAGTTCAAGATGATCAAACTTTATAAGTTCTGGTTGTAAAATAAACTCATAGAACAGATGAGTGTTTTTTGGGCAACTGATGATTGGAAGTTCAGTCCTATAGTACTCATAGTGGAGAGCTCTTGTGCAATGGAAAGAAATGGTTTGAATCTTAGTTATTTCTCCTCTTAAAGGTGAGAAAGGAAAAGAAAAAAAAAACTAAGTTTTTGGGAAGATATTTATAATCTTCCGGTTAAAAACAAACTTTAAATTTTCGCTCTTGAGATGAACAAATCGGCTTCGATTTACAATGGAGTTTCGACTCCTTGTTAGCATTCATTCTTGTGTAGCCAACATAAAGGAAGAGGAGCATTGGTGTGAACTGTGAAATGGATAACTTACTTTATTTTTTTGCCATCTCAGATCACATGTTAGATGGATGAATTTAGATTTAATGGGTACTTTCTCGATCTCTACGGTTTAGACTGATCGACTCCATGACACTAGTTAATAGTTATCATAGATCGTTATGGCCTGTGATCATTTGGCAGATCATTGTCCTCCACTAGCCTAACTACAAGAGATTTTAAATCGTATCTTGCCGTATTCGTTTTATCTTCTACCAAATCTTTTGATCTCTTGATCTCAATGATGTTAAGCAGCTCTTGATCGTAGCAATCATGCCTTCGAAGGTACATTTTTTTCATTCGGGGTCTTACCTTGGGGATAGACGATGGACCCAATTTTTGAAAGAAAATTTCATCAAATAAAAGGAGTTTACATTTGTGACATCTCTTGACACCCTTAGTTTTAATAGGGGTATTGCCTCATGATTTTATTGGTCCTAGGTAGACTCGAGCCGTCGTGCAATTTGGTTATGGAGAATATTTTGTAGTTCTATGAAATGAACTTTTTGTTTTTATTAAGTTGAACATTTTGGGTTAGAAATTACGTTTAAAAAATTGCTTATAAGTTTAATCAATAAACCTTATTGATAGAGGTTTGGATGTTAACCAAGTTGTTTATCATATTTGTGATGCTCATAATGAAATAATGGATCATATTTTTAGTACTTGCAAGGTTGGGGCTTCTATTTGGTGCCTTATAGTTACTTACTCGGGTTTCGATAATCTAAATGTCGGTTCAGTCTTCTTAGATTTTGTGACTTGGGTGGATAAACTGATACTCAACTTTATATATAGAAAGAAAATGCTTCGATACAATTATTAATACAGCATTTTGAATTATATGGAGCTATGTTAACAAAATTATTTTTGGAAAAATCAAGATGTGGAAAGCGGATTTGTTTGATAGAAACGTCACTCATGTTTTTTTGTAGGCCTGACAATACTCAACACGACGTGAAATAAACGGGTTTGAGTTGAATTTTTCAACCCGTCAACCCGATTATTAAACAGGTCATATATGGATTTCTCAAAAATATACGGGTTGACCCGTCAACCCGTTTAGAATTTTAATAAAAAAATTCTATATTTTTTAAATGTATTAAGTATTATACACTATATAGTTTATACTTTATACTAGGATAGGATACCCGATACCATTGACCATTTGACATTTGGCGTTTTTCCTAAATAATCTCAGTATCTCACAAACAAAATCGAATAAGCCCTCTCTCGCTCTCTCATCTATGATGAACGACAGAACAAACTCACGAAGAACGGCAACATGAATTATTGAATCATTATCGAACAACTTCGATGCTTGAACGTGAACGACGGACGCACAACACAGTAGACAATCGATTTGCTGCAATCCAACCTACGAACACGAACCCAAATCTGACCCACGAACCCGCCAAGCTTTAAACTAGTATAAATAAGTGGGTTGACGGGTCATATATAAATTTATGTTCCAAACCCACCAACTCGTGACCTGTATAGTTAAATGGGTCGTGTTTGGGTTGGTATATATTGACCCGCCAACCCGAACACGACACGATTGTCAGAGCTAGTTTTTTGGGTCTTTAATAGAAGTTGTAAGAGTAAGATTAATTTGGTTTGAATGGTTGCATAACCTTTCTTTTATTATATCTAATATATAATGTTTGTTTTTTTTTCTCGTATCTTGTTTGGTTTTTATATAAGATATTTTGTTTGAAAAAAATAACAATAGTCCAAAAACAAAGTAAGGGACGATATAAGAATATAAACATAATTAAAAAAAAATCAATTTCAACGTTATCCTTCCAACCAAACAGTAAAAGACATCTACCTTCTCTAATAAACAAAACTCATTTTTGCCACGTGTCCTTATTCTACCTTGCCACTTTGCCACTTGTCATCTTCTTAAAAATTCCTATAATTCCGATTTAATTAAAATCATTCAAAAAAAATCATAATTATTCGATATCAAGTATATCATTGTAGTTCATTAAAAGTGACATTTCAAAGTACATTGATATTAACCAAATATGTTAATAATCAAATACAAACTATGTTGCCATAAAATTAAATTTCATTACTAATTGTATAGTTTAACCAAGTAGAATGTTGTTTGTTGTATGATTGGAGAAAAAAAAAGAATGAAAGTTCGTTGCTATTCGTTGGTATGACTACGGATAAAAAAATAAAATTGTTATCATATTTGTGTTATGAAAGCATGTAAACAACAGGAAAAAAAAAGAGGTCAAATTGAGAAAAAATGACAAAACATGGTCAAAATAAATTAGTAAAACTGATGAATTTGACAAAAATTGTCAAAAATGGTCAATTTTTGTTTAAGTGGTACAAATTTGAAAAAAAAATAAAAAAAACGGCAATAAATTGACCAAATTGGACAAAAAGGGCAAAATGGTCATTTTTAATAAAAAAAAAATCAATTTAAACATTTTTTTCAAAACGAAAGTACAGTGTTTGTTTCTTTAAATATAAAATCCTTTTTATAACACCTAACTTTCAAAGTTATCCCAATACAACATTCTATTTCGTATTTTCTGGACACATTTGCCCTTCATTAAAAGGGGCATTTCAAAGTACATTAATCAAATATGTTCATAATCAAATACAAAGTATGTTGCCATGAAATTAAATTTCATTACCAATTGTATAGTTTAACCAAGTAGAATGTTGTTTGTTGTATGATTGGAGAAAAATAATAATGATAGTTCGTTGCTATTCGTTGGTATGACTACGGATACCAAAATAAAATTGTCATCATATTTGTGTTATGAAATCATGTAAACAACATAAATTTTAAGTATTAAATTTTATGCCTTTTTTAAAATTATCAAGTATATCATTGTATTTCATTAAAAGTATGACTACGGATACCTAAATGTTAAATATGAAATTTTATAACTTTTTAAAAAGTTTAATTTTGTAATTATCTTTTCCAGAGCTGATTTTTATTTATTTATTTATTTATTTTTTATGTTAATAGCTATGATTCAGTTACTATGCTTCTCCAAAGACTAAGGGGCCGTTTGTTTTGTTTGATTCCTAAGGAATTTAATGGAATTGGAAACTAAAATCCAATACAAAATGTGTTTGGTTTACAAAAGGAATGGAATATAATTTCTATAATTACTTTATAATTCCCTATATGAAAGATTTTCAATTCATTCCCCATGCATCAAGAATCTACATTCACTTGCTTATTTTTTTTTCGGATTGCACAATTATCCTCCCATGTAAGATTTTGGTAGCAAATATCATCTATGTGTAAATGACTTGTTGCTTTATATTATTATATAATAAATGACTTGTTGCTTTATATTATTATATATAATAATTTTATTTCAATTTAAAAAATATTTTTATTATTTGATTGTGTTCAACGAAATGTTAATTATTTTTTTAATTTATATTTTATAGAATAGTTTAATAAAAGATATTGTAACTAAATAAAATTTTGTCTTCTTTATTAAAAAATATAAAGGTATTTCTGTCATATTATAACATTTATTTTCTAATCATACATCATACATCATACATACTTATAAAGCTAACATTTTTTTTTTAATCTCATGCATTTGAAACCCCCTTTTTTAACTTCCTCAAACCACATTCATTTGAAACTCCCTTTTTTAACTAATGCAACTCAAAAGTTTTCTTAATTATGATTTAACACTCAAAAGTTTTATAACTTATATTATGTTTAATTAGCATTTAGTGAAAAGTTTACTATAAACAGGTCAATCTTTTGGGAAGACATGCATACAAATCATATACAAATTTAAGAAAAAAAAACAAACTTAAAGGTTTTTGTGTTGGGTGAGGTCTTATGACTACTTTTGGAGATATGCTATTATATTAGACCTTTTAATTTGTAAGTTTGTTATACTAATTCGTTTTTATATTTTCTTTGTTTTTGGATTATTGTAATAAAGTCGTTGTATATTGTGGTTTAATCGTTAATATATTGATCATTGTCGAAAATATTTAATTAAATATTTTAAATATGTTTTTTTTTGTTTTGTAATTGTACCATTTCAAAAAGATAATTAATTAAAAC